TACCACTGAGCCACACCCCAGACCCTCACTGGGGGATTCTAGGCAGGGGCTCTACCACTGAGACACACCCCAGCCCCTCACTGGGGGATTCTAGGCAGGGGCTCTACCACTGAGCCACGCCCCAGCCCCTCACTGTGGGATTCTAGGCAGGGGCTCTACCACTGAGCCACGCCCCAGCCCCTCACTGGGGGATTCTAGGCAGGGGCTCTACCACTGAGCCACGCCCCAGCCCCTCACTGGGGGATTCTAGGCAGGGGCTCTACCACTGAGCCACACCCCAGCCCCTCACTGGGGGATTCTAGGCAGGGGCTCTACCACTGAGCCACGCCCCAGCCCCTCACTGGAGGATTCTAGGCAGGGGCTCTACCACTGAGCCACGCCCCAGCCCCTCACTGGGGGATTCTAGGCAAGGGTTCTATTATCGAACTGCGTCCCGCAGACAAATCTTTTTTTTTCAAACAATATAATACAAATACAATATCTAAGAAAATAATAGAAATGTAGGGTTAAAATAGTAATGTTGTAGGACTAACGGTCATAATATACTTGTAAGTATGTACTCTTGGGGCTGAAGCAATGGCTCGGTGGTTAAGAACACTGGCTCCTCTTCCAGGAGGACCCAGATTGGTTTACCAGCACTCACATAGAGGCTCACAACTGACAGTGACTCCAGTCCTGGGGATCTGGCTCCCCCTTCTGGCATGCACAGGCACTGCATGCTCATGTTGCATAGTCAAACATGCAGACAAAATATCCATACACATAATATGTTTTTAAAAGATTTATTTATTTATTCTATGTATGTGAGTACACTGTAGCTGTCTTCAGACACACCAGAAGAGGGCATCGAATAGAATTCCATTACAGATGGTTGTGAGCTACCATGTGGTTGCTGGGAATTGAACTCAGGACCTCTGGAAGAGCAGTCAGTGCTCTAAAACACTGAGCCATCTCTCCAGACTTCACATAATATGATTTAAAAGGGGAAAAAACCCAATGCACTGTTGCAAGAGTAGATGGATTATAAATACAGCTACATAAACATATCATACCAATGCAAAACATTTTAAAGGGAAAATATGAAATTAAATAAAATACGAATAACCACATGTGCTCTTAAAGATAAGGCCAACATCAAACTCCTCTTAGGCTAACAGCACAGTTTCCATGGAGACAGATGTAAAATTGAGCACATAATATTCTGAGAGCATGTGTGATATCTGGCAAGTTAGATAAACTTTCTGCATGTTAGTTCTCTTGCTTGATATTAAAGAGCCATAATCCATGTCCCCATTTTAGGTGGGTCAGACACCTGGGCCCACTCCAGGGCCTCCCTGTGCTAACAGGGCCACCCTGTGCTAACAGAGCCTTCCACAGCTCTCCTATCCCAGGAATTCAGTGTGGGCAGACCTTCCTGTTGCCTGCTGTGGGAATATAGGATGTTGTCCAGAAACTGGAAAAAGAACCTGAATGGAATAACGAGCCATGAACCAAGACAGAATCCCAGGCCAGAGGGAGGAAGGGAAAGGTCTGGAGCTTAGAATGAAGGGTTCCTGCGTGTGCCCTCACCTCGAGGGAGGGGAGGGAGGGGGCCACCTAGAAAGGATGCTTCATAGTGGGTGACACAGTGGTCCACCAGGAGACCCAGGCTTCCTCTGCAGCTGTCAATTATTACAGTGTGACAGGGCCATCTTCTGGTGTTTAGTTTCTTTAAATAAAGGAAGGGCTCAGAAAGTAGTTCATCACCTCGTCTGACACAGCATCTCCCGTCACTAGGACTGACGTTGTCCTGACAATAAAATGTGATTTAAAACAATCACCTCTATGGCCGTGAAGCCAGCAAAGAGGGTGTACTTTGAGCTGAGAGGCAATAAGGGGAGAGCTGTCATGGATGTGTGTGCCTGATGTGCATATGTGTAGGTCAACATTTCATTCATTTTAGATTGTTCTCATTTGTGTGTTAGTATGAACGCACATGCCATGATACCCGTGTGGTCAAGAGAACGACTTTTGGGAGTTGGTTCTTGCTCTGCTTGTTTCTGGGGTGTGTCTTATGTTGTTCCGGTGCTGGGCACTCTGGGCTAGGTGGCCTGCAAGCTTCCCAAAGGCAGATTCTTGGCCATGAGCAATCTCTTCTCTCCTCTTCCAGTCTTGCTTCAGGATTGTTAGGATTCCAGATAAGCCGCCACATCTGGTTTGGGTTTTTTGTTTTGTTACATTTTGGCTTTGTTTGTTTGGTTGGTTGGTTGGTTTTTACTTCAGCTCTGGGGATGTGACTCTCAGGATACCCGGCTTTCACTCTAAGAGCTTTTGCCTATGGAGCCACCTCCCTGGCCCTTGAGCTCATCTGAAAGTTCAGTAATTGTGTGTATAAATCACATTTTGCTTACGCACACATCTGCCGGCAGACACCCCCGATCTGCGGATAGAGACTCTGAGTGTTCTCACCTTTTGCCTATGGTGAACGACGTTACTGATATCTGTGTTCAAGTTCCCGGGTGTGTTCCTCTGTAGCGATCTACCGGATGCTATCCAGGAGTGCAATTGCTGAGTCACCT